GGTTATGACTTAAGAATTTTTTGATTCTACACATAAGGTTATGACTTAAGATATTTTTGATTCTACACATAAGGTTATGACTTAAGATATTTTTGATTCTACACATAAGGTTATGACTTAAGAATTTTTTGATACTACAACTAAGGTTATGACTTAAGAACATAAGACTAAGAAGTAAGAAATTTTTGATACTACACATAAGGCGATATGACAATTTCAAGTTGAAACTAACTTTCTTAGACAAAACATTATATATTTTTGAAAAAAACAAAAGTCACAATTAATGAATCTTCAGTACATTAGTTTTAAAACAGCCATTGAAACTTGTATAAATAAATAAATAAATCCAGTGAAGACTGTGTTATTTAGGAATAGGAGAAGAGTTTTTATGTATAATGTTTCTCTTATAAGAATTTCAGTATCATGTTTGGCTGTTGAAAGAATTTTAAAGTTTGAAACCTATTTTAACTATTTCACTTGTGCCTCACATTGAATTTTTCTGTGTTATATTTGTATATTAAATTTGTTTATTTCTTATGTATATATTGCTGTTGTAATTACAAATATTGTTTGTTTGTTTTGTAACCCTAGATTACTGATGATGGAATTATGACGATTCCGAACTGTCTAATAACTACTTTCTGTTATTACGTTCGTGTTTTGTTTTATCGTTAAGCTACGTTTTCCGAAAAATGAGTCGATTACTAGTATCCTTATTACTTGTAATTGTCAATTCAAGAGATATTTCTGTTGCTGGAAGATCATTATATAAATGCATGGGCATGTTTCAGTCAGATATGTTTACTTGTTATATTGTGTGGTAATATTTTTTCAGCAATGTATTTTAAATAAATATTGTATTACAAAAGTAGAATTTAATCTCTGTTTATTCAATGGTCAATCTATATGATACTAAAATTATATTTACTCCATAACTAACCCTATCAATCTCTGCTCTACTGTGCTTTTTTTCTAGTTCAGCATCAGTTGGTAAGGATTTCCACATCTTCCATGCTGAATCATATTTTTGCTGGACACGGGGGAATCGGTAGAAAACATAATCAACTAGAAACAATTTGACACCAAGATACAGACCTAGGACAGAAAATAGTTTTTTTTACATTAAATTACACTCAAGTCATGTGACGGTATTTATAATTTATAATATTATCGTCTTTCTCCAGTAGCATGATTAAGATATATTTTCAAATGACCAGTTATGTTTCTGTTAACTCCCTCAGTACAGGCTCAGTCGATTCGACCTAAATCTTAACCCTAAATTGACTTTCAGAGTCTCTATATTATAACTTTTCACATATTTCGTGTATCTTCACAAAATTTTGTAAGCTTTCAGTAAGCATTTTGAAAACAAAAAATCAGAATTTTTAATGAAGTATTTTTACTAAAAATTTCTTCATTAATATATGGAGTCCAAGTGTTGACTGTTCCAAGTGCAAACCAATTTTCATGTTAGGATTAAAAATACTTTTCTTCATCTGAAAATTGTCAAATTTTATTTGCTTAATCTCTAAAATTTCTTAAATAAATTTCAGTTTTTTAAGTAAAACTTTACATTTTATCTGTTATTTTCTCTACCCTAACTCTGTACAGCATTGGTTAAATTTACCAACCTCATAACCACCATAAACAAAATACAAAATAAAACCTAAATTATAGTTTTATTCTTTCTTTCCAGAAAGACTTCAATATGTAACAGGAAACTAGATATGTTTATCCTCAATAGCTTAAAATTAGTAACAGTATACATCCGTTTCTATTTAAAGTTATAATTTTCCTATACTGAAAATTTATATTTATACATTACCTCAGTTCACATAAATAGCTATTCTCGTTCAGTGCTGCCCTCTATATGAAACAAAATTGCCTTGAATCTCCCACATCTGGAATGGACTGATTCCAATGCATCTCACATGTAAATCATCATGTGACAACCCTCCACTAATAAGAGTGTGACATACTCTCTTGACATATGATTGACTCTATTCAATTCTACCGAACTATCACTGAGTTTTGGCAGAAAATGGAAGCACCAGTTTTCAGTGGGGAAGAAGTGTGAGAAGAGATAAGTATCTATCAGAAATACAATTTCAGTGTAGGAAAATTATAACTTCTGATACGATACATTACCTCTGTTCACATAAATAGATAGAATCCCACATTGAACAGGTGGAGGATCCGGTGCAAGGGAAAGAAAGAAGCATCCGAAGGACACTCCCAAAGAGGAGATATCTCCAGAGTCAAAGATCATATGTGGGAGACTGCACCCCTTTTAAACCAGTTATACTATTCGCACATTGTGGAAAGATGTCACATATATGGGCAGAAAATCGGCGGAGCACATCCAAATGGGAAAGAACTATGGCAGGATAGTGATCCGAACAATACATTATATATTAAAGTTATGAAACTCAATCCCGGAAAAACATAAAATTGGGTAAGATTAAAGGAAGTGCCCCTAGGTGTAGAGTGGCTAGGGTGCAACAGATTGTAAACGGCAAATCAACTACAATCCAAAACCCAGCTACTGACATCCATGTGGGGGTAGGAAAGAGGATTATACCGCTGGCAAGTCAAGTACAATCCAAAACCCAGTCATCTTTTGGGATGTAGGAAAGAGGGTCATACCATCTTCACCTCAAATTCATAAAACCAGAGGGAAACTTGTGCCCCCCCCCCCATCAATGGGCACATGTTGTTATTTTATAACAATGTGAGAAATAGAACGATCAGTCCAAGAACCAGACATCCAGCATCAAAAAGATGTCGGTGTTATGTAAACCATCTCACTCAAATATATAATGACAGGATCTGCCCCAAGTGGCAGGGACATCCTCAGAATAATAATCATCGAGGGAGAGCAGAAGGGGAAGAACTGTAGTAATCTGCAATCACCGTGACCCACTACACGGATGGAGTAACAAGAGTAGAAATGAGTGAGGGAATAGACACATCTGTAATATATGTGTGAGGACTTATGTTGATTGGTTCAACTCTAAATCCAAATCTCAGCCACTGAGAACTGACATCCACATGGTGGTAGGATGAGGAATCCAAATCTAAGGGGTGAACTGCAATTTGATGGCTCACTCTCATGTCACGTAGTGGAGGATATTACGTCATCTACACCAGCAGAACACCACTGCCCTACTCTCAACTGAAAGGTTTTATAATCATTTATATATATAATTTGTCTTTCATCATCACATTTAGGAGGATGCTTCCACAGTCCACCACCCCAGCAGCTTGGAACTGGAAAGTGATAAGGACTCCCAAACTCCACTAGAAGAAAAAAAGAGGAGAAAGCACTGTGGAGAGTCCAGAAGAATGACAACACCTGAGACAGTGCAATGGATGGCCACGAAACCCTATTTTGAAAAGCAGATCATACCGATTTATTCAATAAGAGACATGGCAGGGATGGGCAGCTATCCCCTTCTGCTTTACCCATGTAGTCCATGGATGAGGATGGTTTGGGATGGGCAAACTTATGAAGCAAACCTATTGCAAGGATAAATCCACAAGTGATCTTGTGAAATACTCCATCTCTACAGTGTACGTTGCGCAAACATGGAATTATAATGATTAAGTCATCATGACCTTACAGTGCAGCTTTTACTAGTTAAAGTATACCTGGATAAGCACCACTCACCACAGAGCAGGACCCATAAAGAAAAAGAGAGGGAGATCCCTGAAAATAAGATATACTAAATGGTAACCTACCAAGTCACAGTCTCATGAAAGAGTGAAAGATGGCAACAAGTGGATGACAGTACCCAGACAGGGAAGAAACAGCTACCCAAAGTAAAGAATGGGAGATGAACATATGAGTATTAGTCCCAGTACTCAACAGATAAAGTACCTCCAACAGACAGGGTTGGAAAAGGATACAAGAAATAAAAGGCCAAACGAATCACAATCCAAACCCACTGGATCAGGGAGGAAGGAAAAAAAAATCACAGACAAAGCAGTGGAGTAAGGGAAGGAAATCATGGGAGATGTATTCAACAGAAAAACCTTGAAAACAATGAAGCAATCAAAAGCATGTACTGGACTAACAAGGTCATCTAGAACCAATCAAGAAGAAATGTGGAAGATGGTAAGAAACAAAAAGTCAAAAGGAATATACCACATGATCTACAAAATAGAGGTAAATAAAAGTGATCTAGAATACAGTAAACCATTGAGCCGAAACAGCAGAGAAACCCAGATTTGTACTGGCCAGGAACGCAAGGAATCATTGTGAACTCTGCCTTATATACAGCTTTATGGCTTTATCTTATGTTTTATGACAGAACGATTGCATTGGAAACATTCTCTTGAGTGCACCACTAGTGGTACATGACGGAAGGTGTGGCTTTATTTTAGCCATCCGTATAAAATAAATGCTTCATATAGGACTTTGGAGATATGAGGCAGAGTTATATCTTATGGGTGCTGTGTACCAGGGGTGGCTCACGATGTCATTATATTTTAAGATTAACACTGATTGCTGATTATTAAAATAGCAGTAACATAAATGAAGTAACAATAATAGAAAAATACTAATAAAAATAGTTTAAAATATTTCTGTTTACTACAAACTTAAAGAATAACAGTACACCACCACACTATACTAGGCTCTAGTACTAATTCTAATGAGCATCAACCTTGTTAGTTTTTATATAAATAAAATTCATCTCTTTAATTGTTGAAGAATGAGACTTTTTTAACTAATAATTCATATATATATATATATATCTAGCACTAGAATCAGAGATATCACATATATCTACATTGTTTAGATAAAACCGAAGGTTGAACTAACTCATTCACTCACCAGCTGCAGTGAAGAGTTGACTAGCAGGGAAGACACAAGAAGCTACAAAAGCAGCCAAGAGGAAGAAATAAAGCTGAGCCGCAGCATCGGGTTCTTCCCAAAGAAGAAGGCTAAAAATAAAATTATATAGACTAAGTTAATTCTACTTTTATGTGAAGAATCTAGATTAATAAAATGTTGCAATGCAAAAAATACTGAAAATAAGTTTTGTCTTTTTGTTTGTTTGTTTTGAATTTTGCACAAAGCTACACTAGGGCTATCTGCACTAGCCATCCCTAATTCAGCAGTGTAAGACAAGAGGGAAAGCAACTAGTCATCACCACCCACTGCCAACTCATGGGCTACTCTTTTACCAACGAATAGTGGGATTGACCATCACATTATAACATCCCCATGGCTGAAAGGGCGAGCATGTTTGGTGGGATGAGGATTCGAACCCGCGACCCTCAGATTGCGAGTCGTGTGCCCTAACCACCTGGCCGTGCCGGGCCCTACAGCAATAGAGGTGTGCATGACTAGTTATAATAGTCTTCAGATAAAATTATACAAGTTAAAACATTTTTCAACAGAATAAACGTTTCCATAAATAGTTTTATACAATGCACTTTAGAATATACCTTTATTATCCAGCGAATACTAACAAGAACTGTCCAAGCATGCTAACTACTATTTTTCAGAACATTTTATTTTATTTAAACGGTACTGGAAGTTTGGAAGACATTTCAAGTTCATGAACCTTAAACACAGAGCATTTTCTATTTCAAAAAAAAAATTGTAATAAAGTCGAATAAACTTGAAATATTCATTCTTTTCATTTGATAATAC